GATGATTGGCCATACGGACGAAAAAAAATAAAAATTGTAACACGCCCTTAGCCAAAAACATGTATGGCGGCAAAAACAGCATCGAGGAACAAAAAGAACGGTAAAACCATAGAGTTAGCAGGGTGACCAGAGAAGAACGCGACAGGGCGAAGGAAACGGGGCGTGAGGAGAGATATAAGTGTGCACAAATCGCAACGGGGCGTGAGGAGAGATATAAGTGTGCAAAAATCGCGGAAAGAGGTAGGGTGATGGGAGGGCAGGGTGTGAAAGATAGAAGAGAGAAGAGGACTGCACTAGCAAGAATGAGGATACAAATAGCAAACCCTAGAAGGGTTGTACTCGCTATAGAGCACCCCACTACAGGCTAGAGCATAAGATAACATTCTGACACACCCCCATAGCCAAAGTGGGGTGTAATCAGTAGAGCACGCAAAGTAGTACAAGCTCAGGGTGGATCACAATGTCACCACACATTCTGAGCACAAGTTCAAGAAGCAATAGTTTAAAGTTCACAATTATGAGCAAAGCTAGTGGTAGTCACAACGGGCAAGTGAGGAGGAGGAGAGAGAGTGAGAGGAGAGGAGATAGGAGGCGACGGATGAAGCTGCAGACACACGGGCAACAGGAGGCACACTGGCACAGCGGCTACCGGAACAACGCTCCGGAATACTGGAGTAACTGGCCCCGCGGCTAAAGTAGCGGCAGACAAGCAACGGACCCACGGGCGGCTGGCACAGCTGGCTACGACTGGGCTACCGGACGAAGTCCCCGGAATACAGGTGCTGCTGGCGACACGACGGCAACCTCCATTCAGCTTCCCAAACTATCCCACTCCCCCTGGCACACACCCACTGCTACACCGCTAGCTCCACTCCCCCTTCACCCCCCCTTAGTACCACTCCACCGGCCTCAACACGTCCACCCCCCCTCAGCGGCAGCTGCAGCACAAGGAGACGGAGGAGGAGGAGGAGGAGCAGAGAACGGTACAGAGTGAAGTCACCCCCATACCCCTCACCCCCAAACCCTAATTCGGGAGAATGGGGAGTAGGAGGGGTGGGGCGCCAGTAGAAGCACTGGGGGACAGCGGGGAGGGCAGGGGCAGCGAGGAACGGGCCCACCACGGGCCTGGTAGAGACGCCCGAGCCGCGCGCAGGCGGCCCGAGCCGCGCGCGGTCCTGGCGCCGTCCGTACGGGCCGCGCGCGGGCCTGGCGCAGCCCGTACGGGCCGCGCACGGGCCTGGCGCAGTCCGTACGGGCCGCGCGCGGGCCTGGCGCAGCCCGTACGGGCCGCGCGCTGCCTGTACGGGCCGCGCGCAGGCCACGACGGGCGACGGGGGGCGACGCGCGGGTCCCCGTCGCCCGTCGCGTCGCCTCCAGAGGGCGACGCGGCGAACGACGGGGCAGAAGCCCGCCGCGCGCCTCGGGGCGCACAGCGGGTAGAGAACCGCCGCGCGCCTCGGGGCGCACGGCGAGCAGAAAACCGCCGCGCGCCTCGGGGCGCACGGCGGGAAGGAAAAGTGCCGCACGCCACGGGGCGTGCGGCTCAGAGAGTAGTGGTAGTAGTTGCAGCGGAAGCTAGGAGGTGGTAAGCCCACCCACAGGATCGATCCAAGGAGATCGACCTGCTCTGATAGCATGTGAAAGATAGAAGAGAGAAGAGGACTGCACTAGCAAGAATGAGGATAGAAATAGCAAACCCTAGAAGGGTTGTACTCGCTATAGAGCACCCCACTACAGGCTAGAGCATAAGATAACATTCTGACACAGGGAAGAAGGGCGCGAAGAGCACGACGACTGCATCTTGCGATGGCGACGTGAACGGAGGGAAGAGCTCGATGGCGATGGGAAGGGAGGGGAGAGAGCGAGGGCAACAGGAAGGGAGGGGAGAGAGAGAGAGAGGGCGACAGGAAGGGAGAGGAGAGAGCGATGGCGACGGGAAGGGAGGGGAGAGAGAGAGGGCGACGGGAAGGGAGGAGAGAGAGCGATGGCGTCGGGAAGGGAGGGGAGAGAGCGAGGTCACCAGGAAGGGAGGGGAGAGAGAGAGGGCGACGGGCGTTAGAATAGAAACGAGAAATGAATGAACTATGAATGAATTGGGTACAAGTACTAACCCTAATTGGGTTGTACCCCTTATGGGCTACCCTACTATAGCCTACACAATATGCATGAGCTATAATTATCTAACACACCCCCATAGGCAAAGTTGGGGAGAACAAGGGGTCACAAGTGTCAGAATATTATAGCTTACTTATTTGTGTAGGCTATAGTGGGGTATCCCATAGGGGGTACAGCCCAACTAGGGTTTCCTATTTGTACTCACTTCGTTCATAGTCATTTCATTCCCTCGTTCAATTCTTCTCATGGAATCAGAGCAGGTCCCCTCCTAGGGACTGTTCCTAGGGCCCACCGAAGCGCGCCCCGAGGCGCGCGTTCTTTTTTTTTTTTTAGCGACCCTCCGTGTCGCCCTTTCCTACGCGATCCCGCCGCCCTTTAGTCGCGGCCCCGCTTTGCCCCGTCGGCCCCACTACGGCCCCTCTTAGGCCTCGCTACGGCCCCGCTACTGCCCCTCTTAGGCCCCGTCGGCCCCGCCTAGGCCCCGCCACGGCCCCGCGTCGGCCCCGCTTAGGCCCCTTCGGCCCCACTACGGCCCCGCGTCGGCCTTGCTTAGGCCCCGTCGGCCCCGCTTAGGCCCCGCTACGGCCCCGCGTCGGCCCCGCTTAGGCCCCATCGGCCCCGCTTAGGCCCCGCTTAGGCCCCGCTACGGCCCCGCGTCGGCCTCGTCGGCCCCGCCTGCGCCTCGCTACGGCCCCGTCGGCCCCGTCGGCCCCGCCTAGGCCCCGCCGACCCTGCTACGGCCCCGCTATAGCCCCTCGTCGGCCCCGCTACGGCCCCGCTTAGGCCCCGCTGCAGCCCCGCTACGGCCCCCATTGCGGCCCCGTCGCCTCTCTCGCTGCGGCCCCGCCGCCCGTGCTGCAGCCCGCCGCGCCACTCGTGCAGCCGCCCGTGCGCCGCCCGTGCAACCGCCCGTGCAACCGCTCGTGCAGCCGCCCGTGCAGCCGCCCGCGCCGCCCGTGAGCCCCCGCGTCACCCGAGCCGCGCGAGCCGCGCGAGCCGCCCGAGCCGCCCGAGCCGCCCGATCAGTCTACGGTGCTGGGAGCCGGATCCTGTGGGCCTGCTGCTACTGCTGGGCCGGCGGAGTTGCTGAGCTGCTGTGTTGCTGTCCTACTGAGCTGCTTGACCCTTCTTCTCTGGTGAGACTGTCGGCTGCTATCATGGCCACCCCCAGTGTCCTGGCCTTTGACGCTGAGGGTCGCGCCATTGACTTTGCGGTCTGGGTCGAGGACCTGCAATTGTACTTGCAGTGCAATTCAGTAGATGACATCTCTCTCTTTGACTTTGCCTCTGGCGCTGTCCCTGCCCCTCCTGCTGATGCTGACCCCACTGTTCGCTCCAAGTGGGCCACACGCGATGCTGCTGCACGTCTTGCTGTGCGTCGCCACCTCCCTTCCTCCGAGCGTGCCCACTTTAGTCAGTGCAAGACCGCTCAGGCCTTGTACGACGCTGTAGTTGCGCGCTACTCCTCCCCTTCCACTGCTACACTGAGCCGCCTCATGCTACCGTACCTCTTCCCTGACCTTGCTGCCTTTCCCACAGTCACTGACCTCTTTACCCACCTTCGCGCTAGTGACACTCGCTACCGAGCTGCGCTTCCTGCTGCCTTCCTCGCCGAAAACCCCCCTCCCATGTACATCACCCTCTACTTTCTAGTCACCCGTCTCCCTGAGTCCCTTCGTGCTGTTAGGGACCAGTTTCTCTCTGTCTGTCCCACCACCCTCACTGTCGACCTCCTCGAGAAGTCCCTGCTAGCGGCCGAGAAGAGCATAGTCGCTGTAGGGGCCTCTCGTGGTGACCCGCGCACCCCCATCTTTGAGGGGTGTTCTCCTTCCCCCCTATTACCCTCTGTCGCCTCTGCTGCTGTGGCCGACCTCGTTGGTTTAGAGTCTGTCGGTGCGGCGTCTGCCCCGAGCGGTAGGCGCCGCTCTGGCAGGAGCAAGGGGGGCAAGGGAGCGGGTGGAGCTAGCGGGGGCGGTGGCGGAGGAGGTGGGGGCGGCGGAGGGAGTGGGGGTGGCGGTGGGGGTGGAGGCGGGAGTGGAGGTACTGTCAAACATTATATGTTTATGTGGTTCTAGGCTGTAGTGGGTTACACCTTAGGGGGTACACCAGATTAGGGTTTCATATTTGTACTCTTGTTCGTGTTAGTCACACCATTCTCGTTTCTCATTCTGACATGGTATTACGAGCCTAGGTTTCACCTAGGACCGAAACGTTAGGGCCCACCGTTTCCGCTAGCCGCGCCCTAGTGCGCCGCCTTTTCCTAGCGCCCTCGTGCGCCTAGTTCCTCGCGTCGCCCTTTAAGGCCCCTCACGGCCCCTCGCGTCGCCCCTTAAGGCCTCTCACGGCCCCCCCTTACGACCCCGCGCTAGCCCCGAACGGCCCCGTGCGGCCCCCGCGCTAGCCTCCCCCGGCCCCTTACGGCCCCGCGCTAGCCTCCTACGGCCCCGAACGGCCCCGCGCTAGCCCCGAACGGCCCCTTGCGCCCCCCCGCGCTAGCCTCTCACGGCCCCTTAAGGCCCCGCGCTAGCCTCTCACGGCCCCCGAATGGCCCCGCACTAGTCCCGAACGGCCCCCGAACGGCCCCCGCGCTCGCCTCGAACGGCCCCCCCCCGCGCTCGCCCCTCTACGACCGAGCCACGCAGCGCGACCCCAGCTGAACCGCGCGACCCGAGCCGAACCGCGCGACCCGACCGAGCCGCGCCGCCCTAGCCGAGCCGCGCCGCCCTAGCCGAGCCGCGCCGTCCTAGCCGAGCTGCGCCCTCCTTACCTGAGCAGCAGGGCCAGTACTGGACTTAACTGCTCCTACTGCTACTGCTACTGCTACTGCTACTGCTACTGCTACTGCTACTGCTACTGCTACTGCTACTGCTGCTGCTACTTCAGCTATGGCTAGCCCTACAGTTCTCTCGTTCGATGCTGAGGGCCGCCGGATTAAGTTTGAGACCTGGCTCGATGATCTGCACCTGTTCCTCCAGCTCACTGCCAGGGAGGATGTCTCGCTGTACGATCATGCACTAGGCAAAGCTGCTGCCCCTGCTACTGATGCTGACGCCACTACCCGCTCCCAGTGGCAGACTCGTGACGCCCACGCTCGCTTCGCTATTCGCAACTCCCTGCCTGTAGATGAGCGCGAGCACTTCGGCCAGCACAGGACTGCCCAGGCACTGTACACTGCTGTAGTTGCGCGCTACTCCTCCCCAGCCTCTGCTGCGCTAGGCCGTCTCTCGCTTCCCTACCTGTTCCCTGACCTGTCCGCCTTCCAGACAGTCGCTGACCTCATCACGCACCTCCGCACTAGTGAGGCCCGCTTCCGTGCCGCTATGCCTGCTGAGTTTCTTGCCTCCCACCCTCCCCCGCTCTGGCTCACTCTCTACCACCTAGTTACCCGCCTCCCTGACACTCTGCGTACAGTCAGGGACAGCTTCCTAGCCCGCTGCCCCACTGAGCTCACCATTGCCACCCTCGAGAAGGAACTCCTTGCAGCTGAGAAGAGTATTGTAGCTGTAGGTGCCTCTCGTGGTGACCCCCGCACCCCTTTCTTCGAGGGGTGTTCCCCCTCCCCCCTGCTCCCCTCTGTCGCCTCTGCTGCTGCTGTCGACCTCCTTGGTGCTGAGCAGGTCGGGTCTGCGTCCGCTCCCAGCGGGCGCCGCAGCGGCAGGGGCAGGGGAGGCAAGGGCGGTGGGGGTGATGGCGGGGGAGGCGGTGGTGGGGGTGGTGGCGGCAATGGGGGCGGTGGCGGGGCTGGAGGGGCTAGTGGCAGCGGTGGGGGTGGTAGAGGCAGCGGCGGCGGCGGTGGCCGGGGTGGGGGCGGTGGTGGTGGCGGCGGAGGACGTGGCGGCGGCAGGGGCGGTGGTGGTCGTGGTGGCGGCGGCGGTGGTGGTCGTGGAAGCTCTGGCACTGGCCAGAGCACGCAGCACTCTCAGTCCTCCCAGGAGCTTCGTGAGTGGTAATTACAGCACGGGGGTGGGGGGGGTAGCCTTAGCTGCATGTACGTCATCCGCACTAGTCGCCGCAAAGGACAGACGTGCAGGAGGGCGCACACTGCGCAGCGCTGCTTCTCTCACCTAGATGACGCTTGGCGTGCTCAGTTTCCTGACGCTCCTGAGCTCCCTCAGTGGGCTGATCTCCTCAAGAAGGATATCGATATCTATGCTCTTAATTTTGATGTTATTCTCAAAGCCATGTATGCATTGACTATTAGTGGAGAGGAGGACCAGTACCTGTGTGTTCCGCCTGACCCAGGCATCCGCACGAGTGAGGCTGCCGCCCTAGGTGCTTGCGTGTCTGCTGCCCCAGGTGCTGGTGAGGCTACTGCTCTAGGTGCTTGTGTGTCCGCCACCCCAGGTACTACTGAGTCCACTGAGGCACTGCACACCTTCACTCTAGACTCAGGCGCTTCGCGCTGTTTCTTTCGTGACCGCACTGCTCTTGAGCCCCTTGCTCGACCAGTCGGTGTCTCGCTCGCTGACCCCTCTGGGGGTCCGGTCATTGCGACCTCCTCCACTGTCCTTCCTTGTCCTGCTGTCCCGTCGGGCACACTGTCAGGTCTCCACCTCCCCTCGTTCTCTACAAACTTGGTGGCGGGTTGTGCGCTTCAAGATGGGGGTGTTCACCAGTTCACCCCTGCCTACGAGCGCGTGACACACTGCACGTGTGCTCGGACGGGCCGTCACCTGGCTACCTTCACTCGGCAGCCGGGGTCGGACCTGTACACATTGACCACTGAGTCCCCTCAGGTAGCGGCGTCTGCGTCTGCGTCAGGTCAGCTGTCAGCCCCCTGCTCGTGTCGCTCTCTGGCGCACAAGACAGTCCTCTGGCACCATCGACTTGGTCACCCGTCAATGCAGCGCCTTCGGGGCATGCACGCCCGGTACCTTGTCTCTGGTCTTCCTCGGGTACTCCCTCCCCTCCCACCCTCCCTTGCTCCTCCTTGTCTTCCCTGTGTCGAGGGGCGACAACGCGCTGCCCCTCACTCCTCCTCGTTCCCCCCGACGACTGCTCTGCAGACGCTCCACATGGACGTGTGGGGCCCAGCCCGCGTCCGTGGTCAGGGCCAGGAGAGGTACTTCTTGATCGTCGTTGACGACTACTCGCGCTACACCACGGTCTTCCCCTTGCGCACCAAGGGTGAAGTCCCTGATGTTCTGATCCCTTGGATCAGCAGAGCACGTCTTCAGCTGCGAGAGCGTTTTCGCTCGGAGTTTCCTGTCCTGCGCTTGCACTCTGACAGAGGTGGTGAGTTCTCCTCCGACCTCTTGGCAGCCTACTGTGCCGAGCACGGCATTCGCCAGTCGTTCACGCTTCTGGCCTCTCCACAGCAGAATGGGGTTGCTGAGCGCCGCATTGGCTTGGTCATGGAGGTCGCTCGTACCTCCTTAGTCCACGCGGCTGCCCCCCACTTTCTGTGGCCGTTTGCCGTCCGGTACGCTGCGCATCAGCTCAACCTCTGGCCCCGTGTCTCTGCTCCGGAGACCTCGCCCACACTGCTGTGGACGGGGGAGGTTGGCGATGCGTCACGCTTCCGTGTCTGGGGATCCCGAGCTTTTGTTCGCGACACGTCTACGGACAAGCTCTCCTCCCGCACTGCTCCGTGTGTCTTTCTTGGCTTTGTCCCGGATGCGTCTGGCTGGCAGTTTTACCACCCCGCCTTGCACCGCGTCTTCCCCTCTCAGGACGTCACTTTTGACGAGTCCGTGCCCTTCTACCGCCTCTTCCCCTACCGCACTGCCCCGCTCCCTCCCCCGCCTCTCTTCCTCGCGCCAGGTGCTGCAGTGGTAGACCCCCTTCCCCCTCAGGGTGCCGCTCCTTCAGGTGTCTCCCAGGTAGACCCGGTTGAGCCTGCCGAGGTAGCTGTCGACTCGCGTCCGGCTAGGGGTTCTGAGCCTGAGCGTGCGGAGCCTGAGCGTGCGGAGCCTGGGGGTGCTGAGTCTGGGGGTACTGAGCGTGGGGGTGCTAAGTCTGGGGGTGCTGAGCCTGGGGTTGCCGAGTCTGGGGGTGCTGAGCCTGGGGTTACTGAGTCTGGGGGTGCTGAGCCTGGAGTTGCTGAGTCTGGGGGTACTGCAGCTGACTGTGAGACGCCTGGAAGAGCTCCCTCTTCGCAGCAGCTGCGTGAGTGGTACTCGCGGTACTGCAGCCTTCGGCGGGGTGCGTCTCCGGCTCGCGGTGCTGCTGGAGTTGGTGCTCGTGTTTCCCCGCCGCGGCGGGAGCCGCCCTCTTCCCCACAGCTCCGGGAGTGGTACGCTCGGCACATCAGTCTTCGTAGTGGGACTGCTGGTGCTGGGGTCCCCGGGGTTGACACTACTACTGGTACTGCGGACCCTGGAGCTGGAGGTGCTGCTGCTGCTGGCGGTACTGCTGGAGGTGCTGTTACTGCTGGCGGTGCTGCTGGTGCTGCTGGAGGTGAGGCTGGTGCTGCTGACCCTGGTCCTGGAGGTGCTGCTGCTGCTGGCGCTACTGCTGGTGCTGCTGGAGGTGCTGCTGGAGGTGCTGCTGATGGTGCTGAGGACCCTGCCGCTGGTGACGCTGCTGGTTCGGGAGTTGCTGCACGGCCTCGGCCGTACTTCGTTCCACTCCTTCAGCAGGTTCTTGGTCAGCCTCCTCCTCCCGCCTTAGAGTGTCCGCCGTCTGTCCAGTCACAGCCACAGTTACCGCCTGCCTCCCCTCTCCCTGTGCCTGCTCCTTACACTGGTCCGACTGGAGGTCTTGCTGAGCGTCGTGAGCCTGCGTCACGTCCTGTGTCGCCTGCGTCTCGTCGAGCGTCGCCTGTTCGTGCTGCTACCTCTGGTCGTAGTGTCCAGCGTTAGCGTCCTCCTGCTGTCCCAGGCACTCACCAGATGGCACTTCGTCAGTCCACTGCTCCACAGCGTGTCTCTCTCCCGTCGCCTCCTACGTCCTCTCTTCCTGCTCTTGCTGACCCGGCGTCCGACTCCCTTCGCGCTGCCAGTCCTACTGTCACACGTCTCCTAGCTACGGTTTTTACTGACCCTTCCTTTGAGTCCGCTGCTGCGTCTGCCTTAGTTGCTGAGCTGGTCGACTTTGCAGCTGCGTGTCGTTTAGACTACGCTGCCAGTCTTGTTGCTGAGTCTGAGTCTGTCTGTCCTCCGTCCGTCGGGGGTGACTGTGCCCTTGGCACTGACGTCCTTGAGGACAGGCAGGAGGAGTTTGGTTGCCTTGCTGCTGCTTTGCCCCATCTCGTGTCCATGCTTGTTGCCCCTGAGGGAGACTCGGATGCACCAGACATCCCGACCCCACGCTCTTACGCAGAGGCGATGGCCGGTCCCTACTCCTCTCAGTGGCAGACAGCCATGGACGCAGAGATGGCTTCCTGGAAGTCCACAGGCACCTACGTCGACGAGGTTCCCCCACCTGGGGCGAACATCGTCAGTGGCATGTGGATTTTCAGGGTGAAGCGGCCACCGGGCTCTCCGCCTGTCTTCAAGGCGCGTTACGTTGCGCGAGGCTTCAGTCAGCGGCAGGGAGTTGACTTCTTCCAGACCTTCTCCCCGACCCCAAAGATGACCACTCTTCGGGTTCTGCTGCACGTCGCTGCTCAGCGTGACTACGAGCTCCACTCGCTTGACTTCAGCACAGCTTTCTTGCAGGGCAGCCTGCACGACGAGATCTGGCTGCGCCGCCCACCTGGCTTCACTGGGTCGTTTCCTCCTGGTACCCAGTGGAGCCTCCGGCGGCCAGTCTACGGTCTCCTTCAGGCGCCACGTGAGTGGCACGACACACTGAAGACTACTCTTGCGGCTCTTGGGTTTGCTCCTTCTACTGCTGACCCGTCGCTGTTTCTACGCACCGACACCTCACTGCCGCCGTTCTACATCCTCGTGTACGTCGACGACTTGGTCTTTGCCACTTCTGACACAGCTGGTCTCGCTCACGTGAAGTCCGAGCTGCAAAAGAGACACACGTGCACAGACCTGGGTGAACTGACAAGCTATCTTGGCTTGCGGATCACCCGGGACAGAGCACGGCGCACCATTACCCTGACTCAGTCACACATGGTGCAGCAGGTCCTTCAGCACTTCGGCTTCACGTACTCCTCGCCTCAGTCCACTCCTCTGCCTACGGGACACTCGCTCTCAGCTCTGCCTTCGGATGAGTCCGTAGAGCCGAGTGGTCCGTATCCAGAGCTTGTGGGCTGCCTCATGTACATGATGACCTGCACGCGACCTGACCTTGCATACCCTCTCAGCATCTTAGCACGCTATGTCGCTCCCGGCCGTCACCGGAAGGAGCACATGGATGCAGCTAAGAGGGTGTTGCGCTACTTGTGCAGTACGTCGGGCATGGGGCTAGTGCTTGGAGGGCGAGACCGGCCTGTTCTCACTGGGCACTCAGACGCTTCTTGGGCAGACGACCAGGCTACTCAGCGGTCGTCTCAGGGTTACACCTTCAGCCTTGGCTCTGGCTCTGTCTCTTGGTGTTCTACTCGCTCTTCTTCTGTTCTCAGCTCCAGCTGTGAGGCTGAGATCTACGCCACGGCCATGGCTGCCCAGGAGCTTCGCTTGCTCACCTACCTGCTGACGGACCTTGTAGAGCAGCCTCGTTCTCCTCCAGTGCTGTACGTCGACAACAAGGCAACCATTGCCTTGTGTGACGAGCACAGACTGGAGCACAGGTAGAAGCACATTGCTCTGCGTTACTTTCTAGCTTGAGAGCTACAACAGCGTGGTCAGCTTCGTCTGCGTTACGTGGCCACTGAGGCCAACACTGCTGATGTGTTCACCAAGGCGCTTCCGCCTGTTGACCATCAGCGTTTTTGCACTCTTCTAGGCCTTGTGCCGACTGGACCTCACTTGCTTACTTCTTGACTTTGTCTGTACTGTGATCACTAAAAATATATATACCTGCATGTTTACTCTTGCTAGGTTGTGATCATTGTACTTCTTGCTCTATTATAAATCTGCATGTGAACTCGTCTTGTGACCGCTTGCTTGTGCTCGGAATTTGTGTGGAATCCTCGAGATCCACCCTGAGCTTGTTTGCATTGTTTTACCTTGACTGGTCTTGTGACCCCTAGGTCTGCCCCACTTTGCCTATGGGGGTGTGTCAAACATTATATGTTTATGTGGTTCTAGGCTGTAGTGGGTTACACCTTAGGGGGTACACCAGATTAGGGTTTCATATTTGTACTCTTGTTCTTGTTAGTCAAACCATTCTCGTTTCTCATTCTGACAGGTACTGGTGGCGGCAGTGGAGGCGGAGGTGGCGGCGGAGGTGGTGGCGGAGGTGGCAGTGGGAGCGGCGGGGGCGAGGGTGGCGGTGGCGGCGGTGGCGGCGGAGGCGGGGGTGGCGGTGGTGGAGGTGGTCGGAGTGGCTCGTCCCAGAGGAGCAGCACTGGGGGTGGTCAGCGCCAGCAGCAGCAGCAGCAGCAGCGCTCTCGCGACGTCCCCGCTCCTCAGCAGCTCCGTGAGTGGTACTCGCAGCGTCAGCGTGGTGGGGCGTTCGGTCCCTGCACCTACGACCTTCGCACCGGCGACCGAGCGGGTGAGCAGTGTGGGGGCACCCACACCGCTCGCCGCTGCTTTGCCCGCTTGACCGACGCTTGGCGCCAGCAGTTTCCGGAGGCCTCTGAGATCCCCCACTGGGGAGAGCTGTCTAGGGCTGGTGTAGCTGTTTTTGATCTTGACTTTGATGCTATCCTTGCTGCCATGTATGCTGTGACTGTTAGTGATGATGGTGACTGTTACCGGTGTTTCCCGCCCGACCCGGGCATTGGTACTGCTGCGTCAGGTGCCAGTGAGGCTGCTGCTCTAGGTGCCAGTGCGTCTGTGCTCTCAGGTACTAGTGAGTCTGCCCTCTCAGGTACTGTGTCGGCTTCTGCCTCTCACACCTTCACCCTTGACTCTGGGGCGTCTCGCTCCTTCTTTCGGGACCGCACCACTCTCACGCCGCTTAGTCGGCCTGTTGCGGTGTCCCTGGCTGACCCCTCTGGGGGTCCTGTCCTGTCTCGTTTCTCCACAGACCTCCCGTGTCCGGCGGCTCCCTCTGGCACCCTGACTGGTCTTTACCTCCCCTCGTTCTCTACGAACCTGGTGAGTGGTGCTGACCTACAGGAAGTGGGTGTCCACCAGTTCACTCCTGCTCGTCAGCGGGTGACACACTGCACAGAGGCTAGCACAGGTCGCCACCTGGCTACGTTTACACGTCAACCAGGGTCGAGCCTGTACACACTGACCACTGCTTCTCCTCCCGGTGCTGAGTCTGGTAGAGTCCCTTCGTCTGGTCAGGTGTTTGCTGCAGCGTCCAGGTCTGGTCCTGAGTCTGCCCCCTGTTTGTGTCGCCGTCTGTCTCACGAGACTCTCCTCTGGCACCACCGCCTTGGCCACCCCTCTCAACTTCGGCTCAGAGGCATGGCCTCCCGTCTTCTTGTGTCTGGTCTCCCCCGGTCCCTCCCTCCCCTTCCTCAGGGCCCTGGCCCTGCCTGTGTCCCCTGTGTCGAGGGGTGCCAGCGTGCTGCCCCTCACTCCTCCCAGTTTCCTCCAACAGAGGCCCCGTTGCAGACGCTTCACATGGACGTGTGGGGCCCAGCCCGCGTCCGTGGGCAGGGTCACGAGCGCTACTTCCTGCTCGTTGTTGACGACTACTTGCGTTACACCGCAGTCTTCCCCTTGCGCAGCAAGGGTGATGTCACTGAGGTGCTGATCGACTGGATCCGCAGCTCGTCTCCAACTCCGGCACAGCTTTGGCTCGGACTTTCCTGTTCTGCGTCTGCACTCGGACAAAGGCGGAGAGTTCTCCTCTGGCCTTCTGCGTGCCTTCTGTCGTGCGCGAGGCATCCGCCAGACCTTCACGCTTCCGGACTCACTGCAGCAAAAAGGGATTGCAGAGCGCCGCATTGGCATGGTCATGGACGTTGCTCGTACGTCTATGATGCATGCGGCTGCCCCCCATTTTCTGTGGCCGTTTGCGGTCAGGTACGCGGCGCATCAGATCAACCTCCACCCCAGGGTCTCCAGGACGGAGACCTCCCCAGCCCTGCTGTGGACGGGAAAGGTTGGCGATGCGTCGGCGTTCCGGGTCTGGGGATCTCGGGCGTTTGTTCGCGACTTGTCTGCGGACAAGCTATCCCCTCGCGCTGCTCCCTGCGTCTTCCTGGGGTTCCCCCCCGACGCCCCTGGGTGGCAGTTCTACCACCCCACCTCTCGACGTGTTCTGTCCTCCCAGGACGTCACGTTCGACGAGTCGGTACCCTACTACCGCCTCTTCCCCTACCGCACTCCGTCCCTCCCCCCGCCCCCGCTCTTCTTGGTACCAGGTCCCCCCCGGGTAGACCCCCTCCCCCCTCAGGGTCCTGCCCCTTCAGGTGTGTCCCAGGTAGACGCGGTCGAGCCTGTCGAGGTCACTGGTGACTCTGGTGCTGCTGCGGGAGCTGAGCCTGGGGGTGCTGGGACTGGAGGTGCTACGCTTGGGGGTACTGAGCCTGGGGGTGCTGAGCCTGGGGGTACTGAGTCTGGGGGTGCTGAGCCTGGGGGTGCTGGGCCTGGGGGTGCTGAGCCTGGGGGTGTTGAGACTGGGGGTGCTCCGCCTGGAGGTGCTTTGCCTGAGGGTGCTGAGCCTGGAGGTTCTTCGCCTAGAGGTCCTCCGCCTGGAGGTGCTTCGTCTTGCCGAGAGCCACTCTCCCCACAGGAGCTACGTGAGTGGTTTGCCCGGCGCTAGAGGCGTACTGCTGGTGCTGGAGGTTCTTCGGCTGCAGAGGGTGCTGCTGCC